ACTTGCTATGTAACTCAAACTGGCCTTCATCTCCCAATTCTTCTGCCTGAGTCTACTAAGTTTTGGGATTATAGGCATAAACTACCACACCTAGCCCAAGTTGGCTTCAGAATATATTTCTTTTGATAGGTATGTAGCTTAATAACAGAATTTTAAGATAGTATCTTGCTACACAGCCAGGCTGGCCTGGAACTTGAAGTAATCATCCCGTCTCAGCCTCCTGAGGGCTGGAATTACAGGTGTGCACCACCTTACTTGGCTGGCAAAGGGTTTATCTAGCATGTACAAGACCCTGGGTTTAATCTCTAGTGGTAGATAAATACTAAAGTAGGGAAACTCTTATGTAGAATTAAGGGTTCCTAGCCGGGCGTGGTAGTGCACGTCTTTAATCCCAGCACTCGAGTGGCAGAGACAGGTGGATTTCTGTGAGTTTGAGGCCAGTCTGGTCTCCATTAGTGAGTCCAGGCCAGCTGTGGCTACAGGGAGACCTTGTCTCAAAAAGAAAGAGAAAAAAAAAGAATTAAGGATTCCTAAATTTTTGTGAATGCCTGTGTACATATGCCACATATATGTATGGATGCTCAGAGGCCAGAAAAGAGCTGTTGACTCTCCTGGAGCTGGAGTTACAGTTGTGATTCACTTGATGTGGGTGCTGGGAACTGAACTTGGGTTCTGTGGAAAAGCAGTAAGTGTTCCTTATCACCGAGCCCTCTCTCCAGCCTCTATTTGTGTGTGCACACAAATGCCACTGTGTACATGTGGAGATAGCTCTCTTCTTCATTATGTTCACTATGTGGGTCCTAGGGACTGAATTCATGTTATCAGGCATGTGCAGCAATTGTTTTTACCCAATAAGCCATCTCACTGGCCATGAATATCTTTTGACAAAACCCCAATTTTTAGCTTATCTTGAAATAAGCTTTGAACTCCTGGTAAAGCTTTACTTATACACACTATAACAACCATCCTCTAGAGAGTCAGTTGCTCTCTTAGCTAGAGTGGGCACTCACTGGTCTTCCCAGTCCCCACAAGGCAGAATCACCAATTGTATCACCAGTTTGACTCCCACAGGAATAAGAGCTTGTAGCTCCTGGTGTGTCTTGGCTCCCATAACATCTCCTTTGTGAAGTCTTCTCTTCTTAGCGTTTGTTGATAATCACCCCTTTGTACTTTTCAATCCCTCATCTCTGTCAGTGTCTTTGAGAACTACTGGTTATTGTCCTTAATACTTCTCCTTTTACTTTTTTTTTTCTTCAATACTAGGGATCTAATCTAGGACTTTGTACATGCTAGGCAAGCACTCTACCAGTGAATCCATTTTTGTTTTTTCAGACAGGGTCTCCCTTGTAGCCCCAGCTGGCCTGGAACTCAATCTGTAGATCAGGCTGGCCTCCATCTCATAGAGATCTGCTGGCTTCTGCCTCCCAAGTGCTGGAATTAAACGTCACCACACCTGGCCTCCTCTTTACTCTTTTTTTGGGGGGGAGGGTCTTTTTGAGACAGGGTACCTCTGTAGCCCCAGCTGTCCTGGAACTCACTATGTAAACCAGGTTGTCTTTGAACTCACAGAAATCCGCCTGCCTCTGCCTTGGGAGTGCTGGGATTAAAGGTGTGGGCCACCATGCCCCGCCTCTGTCTTTTTTTTTTTGTCTTTTTGAGACAGGGTCTCCCTGTAGTCCCAGCTGACCTGAACTCACTATGTAGACCAGGCTAGCCTTGAACTCACAGAGATCCGCCTACCTCTGCCTCCCAAGTGCTGGGACTGAGGGCGTGCGCCACAACGCCCGGCCTCTGTCTTTAAAAAAAAAATATTTTATTTTTATTTTATGTGTATATGAGTATGTTGCCTGCATGTATGTGAGTGTACCCGTGTGGTGCAATTCGAGGTCAGAAGAGGGCATCAGATTCCCCTGGAACTGGAGTTAAGGATGGTTCTAGCCGCCATGTGGGTGCTGGGAATCGAACCCGGGTACTCACTCTGTAAGAGCAGTCAGTGCTCTTAACTGCTGAGCCATCTCTCCAGCCCTACCTTGCCTTTTTATACTTATAGATAGGGCCCCATGTAGCCCAGGCCAGCTTCAAACTCTGTATGTCGTGGAAGATGACCTTGAACTTCTGATCTTACTTCTGCCTCTCAAGTGCTGGCACTATGGGTGTGCACCACTACACGTGGTTTACATGGTGCTAGGAATGAACCCAGGGTTTCATGCATCCTAGACAAGTGTTTTACCAACTGAATTACATCCCCAGTCCTTGTGTTATTAAAACAAAATGTTTAGTATCTTGTAACACGATTTATTTATATATAGTGCTTTTTCATGCTTCTAGAATGTAAATTCCATGAGGATAACTTTTTACTTATTTTGAGGCATGGTTTCACTGTGTAGAACAAGCTGGCCTCAAACTCACAGAGATCTGCTTGTCTCTGCCTCCCAAGTGCTGAGATTAAAGGCATACGACACCACTCATCTTTTTGAGACAGACTTTCATGTATGTACCCCAGGCTGGCCTTGAATTTTTTCCTAAATTTATTTTTTAAATTTTAAATATTTATTATTTTATGAGTGTATTGCCTACATGTATGTGAGTGCACCTGTGTCATGCAATGCCATGGAGGTCAGACGAGGGCTTTGGATTCTCCTGGAACTGGAGTTAAGGACGATTCGTAGCCACCATGTGGGTGTTGGGAATCAAACCCGGGTCCTCTGCAAGAGCAGTCAGTGACCTTAACTGCTGAGCAATCTCTCCAGCCCCTTAAATTTATTTTTTAAAAATATTTTTTAAAATTTTATGTGTATGAGTGTATTGCCTGCATGTATGTGAGTGCACCGGTGTCATGCAATGCTGCAGACGTCAGAAGAGGGCTTCGGATTCCTCTGGAACTGGAGTTAAGGACGGTTCATAGCCACCATGTGGGTGCTGGGAATCGAGCCTGGATCCTCTGTAAGAGCAGTCAATGCTCTTAACCATTGAGCCATCTCTCCAGCCCCCTTAAATTTATTTTTATGTGTTTTGCCTTCATGTATGTAAGTGCACTTATGCATGCAATGCCTGCAGTGGGCAGAAGAGACACTGGATCCCCTGGAACTTGAGTTGTGCATGCAATATGGGTGTTGGGAACTGATCCTAGATCTGGAAGAACAGTCGATGCTTATAACCACTGAGCCATCTCTCCAGCCCCTGGCCTTGAACTCTCGCTCCTTCTGCTTCTACCTTTCCAATACTGGAATTCCATGTACCATCACATTTTGCATAATTTATGTTCTGAATAAGATGATGTATGGTTTGGGGCATAGAATAAGTATACAGCAAACACTGGTAGGTTAGAATGAAGAAGTCCCTCTTGGGTACCTGTTCTTGACCCCCGACTCCTCTGTTTACCCTCTGGTACCCCTAAGATCACTAATGCAGAGTTGGTGGAAGGCAGGAATCCTTATTCAACTTTGTATCCTCAGGTGCCTTTTGCAGGACCTGGGGCACATAACAGTTCCTCAGTGAATACACTTCCAATGCAATATCCAGGGAAGAACTGGAGAGCTTTTTCCCACTAAAGTGAAAACCCAAGGAAAGAGAAACTTGGTTTTATTCTACATAGTATTTTCCAAGGCTATCAGAGAGGTGGAATCTTGATAAGGGTTGAGGTGGCCCTCAGAGAGCAGGTCCATCTATACTCCTCTCCTTTGCTCCCTACAATCGGCACAATAATGGGTCCCCAGACACGTCCACTTTCCTTTTTTAATTTAAGTGTATGAGTTTTGTGTGCACGCAATGCCTATGGAGGCCAGAAGAGCGTGTTGGATCCCCTGGATGATTGTTAGCTGCCATGTGGGTCCTGGAAACTGAACCCAGGTCTTCAGCAAGAGCAGCCAGTGCTCTTTACTGCTCTTAGTCTCTCTAGGACCAAGAGATTTCCATTTTTTACTACCAGGGACCTGTGACTATGTTACCTACCTACCTCACCTGGCAAAAGGGAATCTGCACTGCAGGTGTTACTGAGGACCACCTTAGGCTGGTCTTGTGATTCCAATGCACTCACCAAGGCTCTTGTAAGAAAATGGGGGAAGCAGGAGAGTCAGAGTGGGTAAGGTAATGGGGGTCCCAGTTAGACGCAGGAAGCCACTCCTGGCTTGGTAGGTGGAGGGAAAATGTGACCCTAAGAGTTCAAGCAGCCTCTAGAAGTGGAAAAAGACAAGGAGAAAGTGCTCTTTCATTGAGTTTCCAGAAGGAAACAGCCTTATCAGCACTTTAGCTTTAGCTAAAGTCCACTGCAGACTTTGGACCTCTAGAGCTGTAAGATGAGCTTATGTTGTATTTTTTACTTTTTTTGAGACGGAGTCTCCCTAAAGCTCCAGCTGTCCTGGAACTCTATGTAGACCAGGTTCTACTCACAGAGATCCACCTGCCTCTGTCTCCCAAGTGCTGGGACTAAAGGTGTGCAGCATCACACCCAGCTCTATGTTGAGTGTGTGTGGTTTTTTTTCTTTTTTTTTTTTGGTCTTTTTGAGATGGGGTCTCCCTGTAGCCTCAGCTGACCTGTAACTCACTATGTAGACCAGGTTGGCCTTGAACTCACAGAGATCTGCCTGCCTCTGCCACCCAAGTGCTGGGATCACACCCAGCCCTATGTTGCGTTTTTTTAAAAAAACATTTTATTATTTTTATTCTTTGTGTATGAGTGTATTGCCTGCATGTATGTAAGTGTACTCGTGTTGTGCAATGCCTTCGGAGGTCAGAAGGGGGCAATGGATTCCCCTGGAACTGGAGTTCCAGGCCCTATGTGGGACCTGGGAATCATGTCGGTGCTGGGAACCCAACCTGGGTCCTCTGGAAAGGCAGCCAGTGCTCTTAATCGCTGATCCATCTCTCCAGTCCCGAAAATTCCTCCCCCCCCCTTTTTTAAAGATAGTTTCATGCAGCCAGGGCTGGCCTTGAACTCACAGCGAAAGAAGACCTGGAAGAACTTCTCTCCTGCCTCTGCCTCCACCTCCCCTGGAAATACTTGCCTAGGTTACAGGTGTGTGCCACCAGGTCAGGTTTATTCGGTGCCAGGGATCAAACTCAGGACTTTGTGCATGCTAACTAGGCAAACACCAACTGAGCAACATTCCCAGTCCCTTTTACTTTTCAGGGTGTCCCTTCTATATCCCATTACCTGCACAGTAGCATGAGGGAACTTTCTAAAACCGTAAATTAGACCTTGGAATTCCCTGCTTGGCCTCCCATTCCACACAGAAGGAATTCCACATTCCATGCGGTGGTTCAACCTGTCTCTCTGAGCTTTCTTCACAGGCACACACAAACAGCCACCAAGCTCCAGCCTCAGGGACTTTGGGTTTCCCTCTGCCTGGAAGCACCCTTCCACCTTGTCTGAATGGCTGTCACTTCTCAGAGGCCTTCCCAGATTCTTTTCCTGTAAAGCAGCGCTCCTCGCCGACCCGGGTCTAGTTTCTTTGGTCTTTGCAGTCTTGTTTTGAGTCCATACTCCCATCCAGCAGCCCACATCGCAAAGAATCTGCCATACATACTGAGCCCGGGCATAATGTAGGGCCCTATGGGCACCTGGCCACCGAAACACAGGTGGATGCAGCGACATCTGAGCTGAGACCCGAAGGCCCGGGAGAGCGAGGCTGTCTCCGAGCTCCTGCCTGCTATCCGTCTGAAAGAAAGGGGGTATGGTTTTCAGGGTGATGCCAACAGTGACCGGGCGCAGAGCGGATCGCACCGGAGATCAGGTTCCCCGAGAGGGCGACACGCTGGTCCCGGGATGAATCTGGGTCAGCTCCCTGTTCCACGCGAGTCCCCGAGCCGCGTGGGGGAGGCTGGCGACACCCGTGCGTGCAGGCCTGCGGTCGCTCAGCCCCTTCCGTGTCGCCGCCGTGGCAACCGCTTCCGCCGGGAGGCCCCGACGTGGCGCAGCTGTCCAGGGACCTGACGCTGGCGGCTCAGCCAATGGCGGCGAGTGCGGGGCGGCCTCCCGCCGCCAGAGGGCGCCGTCGTGAGCGCCGCGGGCAGGCAGCCACCGCGGGTCGGAGAGGGAAGCCGTGAACGAGCAAGGGCGAGGGAGAGAGAGAGCGTAGGGCCCCACAGCCGTCCCAGCGTCCCGCACCGCCTGCGTTCCGGGCGCGGCGTCCCGCAGGTGAGGAAAGCGGACGCGCGGGCGCCGCGGGGAGGGCCGGGCTCGGGACGCGCGCGCCTCCGCCGCCTCGTGCTCGCGCGCGGCCGTTAACTGACTTGGGGCGGGGGAGGGGCGCGGACCCCGGAAGCTGGAGCGGCGGGGGCCTCGGGGATCCTCCGGTGTGCTCGGAGTCCTCGAGGGTCGCAGGTCCGGAGCACGCGCGGCGCCCCCTTCCACCCGGGATAGCCTGACCCACTTCCGCGCGCGCGTCTCTCCTTTTCTGGTTATTTCACTTAAAGTTCATTTCACGTCTCAGTTTTCCCGGGTGCTCGGTGGTCGCAGGGGACCCTGGGTTCATTAAGTGTGTTGGGTTTGGGGAGCGCAGTGATGCCCGCGGAGTGCGTGGTGCCGCGGTCTCGGCTTCGCCCGGCCGGGGTTTGTGCGCGGCGCACTTCGCGGATGGGTGGAGATCAGTTTCCGGGGTTCGGCGGGGATGCGGGGACTGGCGGGGATGCGGGGACTGCTCGGGGAGTTTTCGGGTTCTTCTCGCCCTTGGAGAGTGGAGACCTGTCAGTTGCCATTAGCGGGAATTTCCGGCCCAGGGGTGGTCATCGCAGGGGTGTGGTCAGGCTGGAAGGCCCGGGCTGGGCCCGCGGGGTGGTGCCTGCGTGCTGATTGGGTGGATTTATCCCCGGATTGGGCGTTTTCTCATGCCTAAGTGTTTAGGGATCAAAGAGGGTCACGGTGATGGGTATTTGAGACCAAAGGGATCTGCTCAGACTACATATGGACCTGTGATGTGCATTTAGGAACTTGAATGCGCACTTGAATGCGGCTAGAACAAATCGGCAAATACTCCCTGTTTGATTTTTAAAGTCTGATGTTCAGATTTGAGGGTGGTGGTGGAAAAGATCCCCTTGGTAAACTTTATATTAGCGTATGATTAGCAACGTGTTATCTAGTTTATTAAGGTGATAATATTGTGGTCATGTTGAGTTAAAATATAAGTGCAGAATTCATGCGGCCGGTTTCTTTTTACCTTTTTAGTGTGGCCACTTGGTAATTGAAAATGGCATGTTCAGCTGGCATTATATTTCAATTGGATAGCGCTCAAGTGGAGCGTCTGAATGGGGGAGGGGCTGGGAACCTCTGCCATCTGCTCTCTTCCTGGAAGTGTGGCTACCTTTCTTGGAGGTTCTCCAGGAATCGGAGGCCTCCTTTTCGACCTCATTTGAACTGATGAGCAGAACTGCTCACTGCCTATGTGTGGGGGAAGGGGGCGTCTTAATCTGTAGACTAAATCAAGGGCCGGGATACAATTTTCTCCGTTGAAAAGTTTCCTCTCTGCTATCTGCCGGGCCAGCTAGATTAGCTTCAGCTTGAAATCAGATAATGAGTTTTTGAGGTTGAATATTGTCACTATTTGGAGAGGGGGTGTTCTGCAAAGAGCTGGTTGATTTAATATGGTCCAGACGAAGGTGGAGCTCCTACCCTGTTCTGTGCTAATCGTGACTTTTGGTTGGGGGGCTGTGTTGTGACCTGTATCATTCTCCCAAGCTCCAGGTACTGTAACAAAGGTTTTTTGTTTTGTTTTCCAGCTGTAAGCCCCTGAAGTTGCTAATTTTGACCGATTTTGAAACCTCCTGATTTGGGCCTATTAAATCTGTGTTGGCAATTAGCTATCTATTGATAGACTCAAATGTAGAAAGGGTTTGAACATTCCAATAAAAGAAATAGAAACAAAAGAACACGCTTGTATCCTGTTGTCACAAATACTTTAGAGTGGGGCTTTCTAGACAAGTACTATGTGAGGAAGCGTCTGTCTTCTAAATAGTACTTTGGTATGCTTTGTCACTGTAAACCCCACCCCCTGCACTTTTTTTGAGACAGGGTCTTACTGTGCAGCCCCAGCTATTCTGAAACTCACTGTGTAGACCAGGCTGACCTCAAACTCAAACACAGAGATATGCCTGCTTCTGCCTCCTGAGTACTGAGCATAAAGGTGTGTGCCTTATGTACAAAACCACTTTTTTCTCCATATCTTAGAAGTAAACTTGGCTTTTAAGATGTGAGGTGTAGCTGGTACTAGGGCCTGCACCTGTAGCCTTAGCTACTTGACATGCTGAAGTAGGATGATCATTGAGCCCAGGAGTTCCAGACCAGCCTGGACAACATAGTGAGATTCCCATCTCAGAAGGACAACAAAACCAAACAAAAAACCCCTCTGCAAAGCAAGAAAAAGTTTTGATGTTGTTAAAGAAGGAAGAAATATTAAAATAGTCATTTGTAAATTTAAGAATTAATACTGATGACAATATACCTGTTTTAGTTTGTGCTCTCAATGTTCTTTTTAAAACAACCAACTTTGATTTTTTTCTTTTAATTACATTTGTTTATTTAATGTGTGTATGGGATTTGCTGCATGGCACACATTTGGAGGTCAGAAGACAAGTTGGTCCTCACTTTCCACCAGGTTAGTCTTTGGGATTCAACTCAGGTTATCAGGCTTGGCACCTTTACTATTGAACTATTTTGCTGGCCCTCACATGGCTTACTAAGTGAAGTGATTTTCATTGATGTAAAAAATGAGTCTACCCAACCTTAGCAGGTTTTGTTCCAATTAGAAATTTGCTTTTTAATTTTATAAGTTTAGCAGTATATTGTCTACTTAAGTTAATCAGTGTTAATGGCTCAGCAGTTAAGAACACCAACTGTTTTTGCTGAAGACCCGGGTTCGAATCCCAGCACCCACATGGCAGCTAACAACTGTCCATAACTCCAGTTCCAGGGGATCCGACGGCCTCTTCTGTCCTCTGTGGGCATTGCACGACACAAGTGCACTTTCATACATGCAGGCATAACAAAAAAGATGTGAATTTAGAACCGGGGCATGCTCTGCCCTGTTTGGTGCAGCAACCAGGTGTCAGCACTTAGCAGGAAGACCTTCTGGGGGTCCTGGGCACATCATGATTATTTGATAACTGGGGCAAATTATCATGATGAACTTTCCTAATGAATGGTCCCAAGTTTGTGCGTGGGGTGCAGGATTCCTTGTTAGCGGTCTTGTCTGGCTGAATGCTGCTTGATTGTATAGAATCTGGGACTTCCTGGCAATTTCACAGTGAACAGTTCCTGTGGGGGAAAGGAGGGAACTTAGCCCAAGTAGGAAATTACCTTCCCTGTGCTGTTTGACATCATGAAGTTTTCAGTGAGAGGAAGAGTTGTTTCTAATGCTCCGTCAGCAGCTTCTTTTACGAGGAGGAGGTCTAATGGAATTAAGGTTTCACTACCTGTTTTGCAGCCTGCAGGGTGTGGCATTCTGTCCTCTTGTCCCAGGACTGGGTAAGTATTCCAAAAATTAGCCAGTACAGTGTTGCAAGACAAGGTTGACAGTGTTACTTGAACCACTTGTTAGTTTTAAATCTGGTTCACAGTCTAGAGTGAGAAAATTCAGCATAGGTAGATTGGTTGGTAATTATAGTTCTTCACTTGAAATTTGGGCCAGTGAGGGGACTCAGTGGGTAACAGGCACTTGCTGTACAAACTTAGAGACCTGAGTTTAATCCCTGGAACTCATGTAAAGGTGGAAGGAGAGAATAGACTCCACACAGTTGTCCTCTGACTTTCATACTCATGCCATTGCAGACATGCCCCCACACACATAATGGGTATACACACACATACTGCTGCTAATAAATAAAGAAAATAAAAGAACCCTGGGAATACTTTAAAACTTTTTATTATTATCTGAGACAGGGTCTCACTGTGTATCCCTGTCTGGACTGGAACTAACTCATAGAGCTCCATCTGCCTGTGCCTCTCCAGTGCTGGTTGTAAAGGTGTGAGCACCCGTGCCCAGCCTAAACTTGAGGATACTTTTTTTTTTGAGACAGGGTCTCCCTGTAGCCCCAGATGTCCTGGAACTCACTATGTAGACCAGGCTGGCCTTGAATTTACAGAGACCCACCTGCCTCTGCCTCTAGAGTGCTGGGATACTTTTTAAAGTAATAATACTACAATACCAGCCATTGGGCCACCCTCTCTTGTCCTCCTCCTCTCCTTTCTCCTCTTCCTCCCCTTCTCTTCTTCCTCTTACAATTTGACAGTTTCATACATGTATATAATGTATGTTGATCACTTCCAACCTCAAAATGCTCCCATACTAGAAGTCGAACCTGGTGCTCCTTCTGTTAGTATGTCTCATAAGGAATGCTGCTTTATAGAAAGTATTTCTGTGGCTGGTGTGGTGGTGCATGCCTTTGGTCCCACCATTTGGGAGGCAGAGGCAGGCGGGTCTTTGTGAGTTCAAGGCCAGCCTGGTCTATACAGTGAGTTCAGGTCAGCTGGGACCTCAGGGAGACCCTGTCTCAAAAAGAAAAAAAAAAAAAAAAAAAAGTATTTCTATCTAAACCTTATGTTCTAGCCAAGCATATACATGCAGAAGTTTTTCTGGGCGTGTTATCCTGACTCTTGGCATCCAAGGTGTTCCTGGGGAAGTCCTTTGCTTAAGCTCAGATGCTTTAAATGATTTCCCTTGAGCGTGGATGTGTGCATATTTGTGTGCACAAAAGTTTATTCCATTCTTCCTGAGTGGTCATAAAGTGCCTACCTGTGTATTTTGGCCCTCCTCTAGGCGCCTAGGGCACTTTGGGTGCAGAATAGTGAGGTGAACAGAGCTCGGGTGGGGCCAGCCAGTCTGCCTTTAATCTAGCTCTGCCACTTCCTTGCTCTGAGGTCAGTGGCCAAACCGTCACTTCTCTGTGTATCCTCACAGCACCTATCTCTTAATGTTATCAGGGTTAAATGACTTAATACTTGTGAAGCACTTGGCACAGCACATGGCACCAGAGAGGGTGTCAGCTATGGTTCCTATCTCGGATTGCTAGTCACATCTCACTTTCTTGGGGTCTTTGGCTCGTGGGAGGTGACTTCTCACCATATTGTGGAAGGTGAAAAGGCTGTTGTTATAGTTTGCTTTTCTGCTGCTGTGGTAAAACACTGACCAAACACAGCTTAGGGAA